TAGTTTTGTCCTCTTGTTCCCTACATACACTTCATAGGGACATCTTCAGTTGTCTATTCCAGTCTCAGTCTGAAGCTTTGCTTCAACTAGTATACTTTCTCAAACCACTATTAGTTATAGCAGCTCAGTCTACAAGTCTAAGTACAAATATAACATGTCAGCCTTACACATATAAGCCTTAGTATAAAGTCTTAAGTCGAACTCCTGATCCTCAGTCATCACTCAGTCATCAGGTCCCTTAACAACAATGAATAGTAAGGAAAAAGAAAAAACCCCCCTCAAAGCTGCAACAGATGGGATAATAGAAGTGAACCACTGAGATGAATCAGTGATAAATGGTGACAGTTAGATATGAGATGAACACATGGAACACATTGGGAAAAGATCACACAGAAATAGATTGTACAGGGTCTGGAGTAGATGAGCAAGACAAAACAAAAAAACCCCTCATGACATTGTAACAAGTTGAATCAATGAACTGATAGATGGGAATGGTGAGAACAACTACTGAGATGTTAGTGATGAACAATGACAATTAGATATAAGTAAAACAAGGAGTGGGAATCATATGCATCAAGGAAATGGATTGACAGGTGTTATCCAAGAATAGATAGTACTGGGTCTATGAGATGATGAGCAAGATAAGAAGAAACCCCCCCCCCCTCACTATACTGTAACAATGACAGATAGATGAAGATGAAAGTGGAGCATATCAATAAAATAGATATAGGCAATAGTGAAATCATAGAGGGTCAATGAGAACAAGGCAAGAAGAAAAAGAAAAACCCCCAAGACTGTAACTGTAACACTAATAGTCAGATAACTCTTGTCCATAACATATTCAGATGATGGTCACAACATCACAACAGTCATAGAGTCTAGATTAGGTCTACCTTATATAGTGCCAGGGATATTTATGGGTGTCTATATGAAAGGAGGATGACTATAAGTCTATAGTTGTGTCTATAGGGTCACATAGCACAATATAGGCCTTGTTTATTTTCCTGATGTGATTCTTCTATGTACTACATGATTTTAATTCTACCTTGCCTCACCAGACTCTCTAGAGATCACCATGCTACTCCCAGCCAACTGGGCCCAGGACAACACCTTCCTCAGTCCCCTAGGTACCTCACTATGATGTTCATCGCAGCCCAGAGAATCACCTTCAGTCTTCTCTTTTCCAGATTTGTGCTTACCATGCGCGACAACAGCGATAGGTGACTCGAGCGGAGGCACGGGAGGCACAGTCGACGCCGTTGAGCCTTTCCTCTCTCTCCATATTGCAGAGCTCCGTCTCACGAGACGCTGCTTCCACGAGCTTGCGCGGGCTTGCCAGCCGTAGACAGTACCCCGACTGGCCCGGACGCCCTTTCGGACTGTTTCCTCTGACGGAAGGTCCACGAACGAGCAGAAAGTGTCGCCCATGTGCGGACCTTTGGGCTTCGCCTCACATCGGCGATCTGGCAGGTTCAACGTGAGCTACTGCGTGCCAAGCACTTGAAATTCATAACTCTCACCTCCGTCAGCCTTGACGGCGATCGAGCCGGGCAGAGGATTGTCGAGGAAGGTCATGCTCTCAGGGGGAACGTCAACAGGAACAGCTATGATATGTCCAAACAACGAGCCCTCGGCCCGAGTTATTTGTACGATATTCCAGCCTGCTCTCGCCGTCAGCGCGACGAGTTCCCGGAGAGTCCGCTCTTGCGAATTAAATACAGCACGCATCTGCACAGTGACAAAAGAGGGATGTCAGCCAGGGTTACAAGGAAAGCATCGCGAAGAAACGCACCGTAAGATCTAACCAATATGCGTTGGCATTTGCTTTACCCAGGTTGGGAAGTAACGGTGAACTTTCCGGCACCAATGAAGCTACGTTACCGGGAACCGGTGGGGCCTTCATTCTCTCAGCCATGCAACAAATTTCCCTGGGCGACTCAAGATCAACGTCTTCATCTACGCATGCGAGAGGAAGCACAAAGTCAGCTAGCAGCAACTTCGTGTCTGGACCTGCAGCAACGCGGAGGTGGAGTAAAATCCTGGATATGTTGAGACTCGTCAGTGGCGAGGAGCATGAGCAGAATGTGAGCCTACCTAACTACGTAGGCATCGGGCCAATCGTGTGTAATGACTCGCAAGAGAAATACAGCGGGCGGATTCTGCTTGTTCATCCCTGAGTCTGGTCTTCCACAGTACGCTGAATCGCGCAAAAGCGTCGGTCGGGGTGGCTGCGGAGCGAAGAAGTCATGCGCCTGGAATGCCGCACGCCCCGTGTCAAGCAAATCCGGAGATCGTTCGCGCCATGCCTATACAGGGACCAACGTTAGATGGCCAATACGCTACAGAAAAACATCCCCACCGCTTCGCCCATCTTCACGACCTGTAGGCGATCCTGCACGAGGAATCGTAGATGAGGGAACGCATGTGCAAGGAGAAGCGATGTCGAACCAATCCCGCCACCGACGTCTATAACTAGTGCAGATGGCGGGAGTGTATGCCACGGGAATGCTATAGCAATACCTAGGTCATTGATTCGAACACAAAGCGGCGATGTAATTATCGCACCTCCAATAATAGCCCCAGGTGCCTCCCACGCACCCGTGCCCGTCATTGCACGCCCGAACCGCTTCAACCTGCCTGCGTTCTCATGCCTCTCCAGCCACTCGAAATACGATTCATGCGTGCGGAAGGCGAGATTGAACGCCGAGTGCATGGGACTACAATCATTCGAAATATGGGCGATTGTCATCTCTTCGGCCGCTTCGTCAGCCTTGACGGTAGACAGCACCTGAACAGATGTCTTCTCTCGTCTCTGACTGTTCTCATTCACGCGACAACGAATGGTAGAATTCGGACTGCGAGATGACGAGGAATGGGCTGGTGTTAGCGGCGGTGTACGGGCGAATGACAGTGCGCGTGGACGGTTTGGGGCACGAGCTGTAGACGTTGGTATGATGGACGACGCTCGTGGCCGCAGGACTGCAGATTCGACAGAAGGCGTGGGCAATTGAATGCTCCGGTTCGCACTGCGCATAAGATCATCGGATCCCTGGTTGTTTCCAAGCGCAAGGTCCGCCAATTCGGCATGCGTGCCTGAAACTGTCGAGCGGCGTACTTGCTCAGACGACATACTGTTGACTAGGTTTTCTTTCGTCTGCAGAGGGCCTGAGGCAGTGGCGGTAGGGACAACAGTCGCTTCCACCGAATGGTGTTCGCGCAGGATCCCCTCTATTTTTTCTCGACCATGACGAAAGCCAATTTGATCAGTAGGCGGAAGATAGCGATCAGTCAGATACGCCGCGCTCTTGAATATTTCGTCCGTGCTGACGAATAACTCAGTAACACGTACTACGACCGACAGCTGAATCCTCACCATAGCCCGACAAAAGCAGCGATCCCATTTGTGTTCTCGTACTTAACCTCCACCCTGCCGGAAACAGTCAACTAGATAATGACACGGAGGAAATTAATAGCCGCTTACGCCTCGCTCAACTCCCGTATACTCTTTCCGGAATCTATAGCACCAGACACCCTGTTGTTGGCAAACACATCTGGGCGGACCTCTTGTACGATGTGGTGTGTCGCAAGGAGGCGAAGAACATGGCCTGATACAGTCGAAGGCAAAATGTGAACAAGAGTGCGACGGATTAGATCATAACATACTCAATAGCGCAGGGTCAAGCCCCATGTCGACACCTCCCTCCATCTCGTTCCCACCTTCAGCGACTTGTCCAATTTCCGCCTGCGCGCGTGCCCAGTTTGCTCTTCTCATCTGATCTACCCTCTTTGCGATCTCGTGGACATGTAGCCCACGAGGACCCGCTTCTCTCAATATCTCCGGAATGTGTGCGGACTCAAACAGGCGCAGACAGGCGGGGAGATGGTACTATTTGGTGGAATTTATCAATAAAGAGCCTTCTAACGCGCATATACCGACACCGTCAATCTAGATGATGACTTACACCCATGGAAGCATCGCATATAGTCAAAAATGGCCTTTGTACGCTCGCACATAGCTGGCCGCAAGCCGCAATCAGCCGCTGCCCCGCAGCGAGCACAACAGGGTGAGAAGTCAATGCCTCGGCCAAGGCATGCGCGTCAGGCTCCCGTGTAGCATTCCTGCCAGTATCCGCTACAGCACCGGAGGATTGAGGAGCTATATTGGAAGCTGGACTCCCATCAGATACCGGTGAATGGAAAGCAGTGTTCTCCGCCGTGGCACCAGTAGCGTACACGGGCACGTCCAACGCAGGCCAGTCGAGCACAAGCCTTCTCCCCAGATCAGACTTAGGGATATGCGCACTTGTGTCAAAATTCGGCTCCCACGCCGCTCCGAGGCCGTGCCCCGCGGGCGCATCGTCCCCAAGCGACTCGGACGAGCGTGGCGAGGTGATCGATGTACTGAGAGACGAACGGGATGCCGGTGAACTCAACGAGAAGAGCGATGCTGGAGTAGGTGGAAGCTGTCTGTGTGAGCGATCTACAAGGCTGCTTGTCAATGCGGGAAGTAACGGCGCGGGACGAGATTTTTTCATGTCCTTCCCAATACTCCTACTGGAGGAAGATGTCGCGATGGGCGTGCGTGGTGAACCCAAGCCTAGCTGAGTGGGTTCTGGGTTCTGAGCAAATTTGATCGGGGACGGGGAGCCTTCGATATCCCCAGAAGGCTGACTCGCTGTGCATATACTTGCACCGCCAAAGTCACTCCGCGGGGTACTTGTTAACGAACTCCGCCGCCACGGCGTGCTGACTGCAGTTGGACTTGACATTGCTGAAGCTGCGTGTGTTGCTATTGATGACGGAGATGGTGACGCAAAGGTTATCGGCGATGGAGGCGTGCCTTCAGAGACGCTTGTAGCGCGGTAAGTGAGACATTTGCTCCTGTCTATACTCCGCGGCGTTGAAATGTTTGCACCGGTGTTGCATCCAGATAGGGCAGAAGATAGCCTTCGCACCGATGTCGAAGTGGATGCCAAAGCAAGCGCGGACGAAAGTGTGGTGGATATTCGATGGACGCGCCTGGTTGGTGTCGAAGTACTGGCGGGAATCGAGGTGGTGTTTAACCCCATGCAGGTTGCTTTCGCCGGCGAGCTATCTGGGGCAATTGGTCCATACGGCCATCGGTCGAACGCAGCGGAGGAACGCTTCTTGGATACATGATTCACCCGTTGATTGGGCGTAGAGACATCGTCGCCGTTTGGCACGACACACAAGGCTGAGGCCGCGGCCCGGGGACTTTGATGTTGAGACAGCCCGTAAGAGGTTTGCGCTGAGGTGTAACCGTAATGAATATGCGCCACGCGAGAAAAAGCAAGATGTACACACCGTGAAGATTTGGGGTACTTCCAGGACTAGCGCGCAAAGTCGCAGATGGGACGTCCCGACGTGAGGGCGGCTCATATTGCCATCCAGTGGGGGCAGAGGAACCTCCGTCAACGCTCGAAGATTCCGTCTCGTTGGGATATGACGAGATCGAGGACGCGGACACTGACGGTGCAGGAGATGGAGCTCGAGTATCTAACTTACATGGAGCAGAGGAAACGAGCGTGCGAGGCGCATGGACAGCATGAACGGCAGGTGAAGTTGGTGTATATGGCGAGTAGGGCATAGAAGGAGATGGGGAGTATGTCGTACCGGACATTGCCAACGAAGGTGTAGGAGAGAACGGCTCGCCTGTCGACGGATGTGGTGAAGACGATGGCGAAAGCGGATGCGCGACCGAGTGGCCATTGCTCGCCGCGTCGGCATAGATGCGCTCAATGTCGTCGAGAGCAGCGCCGACGATGGCGTGGAGGGCGCGGAGGGTGGCGAAGGTCATGTACGAGAGGAAAAGAGCGGCGAGGGGAGGGCGAGGGCGACGCAGCCCATGCCATTGCATACCTGGGCGGGTGGCGCCGACGTGACATGTCGTGAAGTATGGCGCACAACACTGGCCGCGCGAATCTCCGTCTGCCTACGACGTATCTCCCAAAACAAGCAGCCGCCTGCCTGCAAGGCCAAGGGCGAGTCAATCTGGCTTGATTAATGTCGTGTCCTGGCGTGCGCTGCAGACATGCCCATGCGGTTCAAGGAGATAGATGGCATTGACTCGGAAGGTAAACAAGAGAGGACATTTGCATCAACGCACCAGTTAGCAAGTCGTGTATTAGCGCGAACACAGGTAGGAGTTGGTCCACGAACGACTGACGATGGCCGACTCAACCTCGACTTCAAAATCTCTCGAGCCTTGCTCGAATCAATCGCGAATTTCTCGGCTAACACGAGAAGTCACGGACACGTGAGGGTGACAGCAGCATTTTCAGCGGCGAGTGGCGAGCACTGGAGGTAGGCTTCCTACTTCGACATTCGTTCTATGTGGCTCTAGTACCAAGGGAATCCACGTTCTTCTCCAATGCCTCTCGAAGGGGGGATTCTCGCTCGCCTCTGCTCCCCCCCCCTCCCCCCCCCTCTCTCTCTGTTGCACTCGCAGTTTAACTGCGTCTAGCCGGGATGACAACTCTACTAGCTCTATGGTAGCACAAGGTGCTCTATGTCTCGTAGCCTCTTGAGACATTATAATCAAGCAAGCTCTACTATAAGGCTCGACGGCTCGTTCAATGCATGGTTCCTGGCGCTCTTTCGAGTGTATGTTTCTGGTCCTATGGATGCAGGGGTCGAAACGGACAAGAACGTTCCATCTTCATCCATGGCGGAAGCTCTGCTTGCACTAATCGTGGCGCTCCGAATGCTCGTAGCAGATCGCTTCAGAAATACTGTAGGCTGCCATGCGCCTTTCCAGGTGCATCATAGCGTCGGGACAAAGATCGCCTCCTCTGGCTTCCTCCTTGGTCCGTGGATAAGCATCAGAGCAACGGTGCTTTCGTACATGGGCAATGTCATTAGACATGCATTGGAACACGTCCTGGAATATATCACGAACGAGGAGCCCTCATCTAACCGGTCGCGTATTTCGTCTCAGGCGCAACTGGGGTCGGTGGATCGACATCGCCCGCAGAGTCAGCTGCCCCGCCGCCTAGTCGCAAACCCTGTGCAGACCACTCAATCCCGCAGGATCCTTCAACGTACCAGATATAATCTCCGCAAGCCCGCCTATACCGAGCGAGTCGTACACCTCCAGCTCAGAGCCAGACCGGTGTGGTACCAGACAAACACGTCGAGGGTCGTCCAGACGTCCAGACGGAGCAACGATCGTGCGGGTATTCATTCTAATATATCCGTATCAACAAACACGCTAGTTCCAATAATATATACTCTCTGCACAGCCTCCTGACCCTCTGCATCAGTACATTACACACAAGCAACATAGCACATATATACTGCCCTTGCCCATCGACGCGACGCAGCACGCGCCGGGGTATATACGAGGAGAACACAGGCAGCCGCGCGGCGTAAGGCGCGCTCAGTTGGTTATAGCGTGCGTGTAAGCCGTCTCGGCGAAGCCGATGCGGTTGTTGGTGGTGTCGAACACGGAGTAATACCGCTCAAGGAAGGTGTACCCGTTGATAAAGTCAAGACCCTGGCCTGACGGTGTGCCGAGGTCGTTGACCACCAGATAGATCTCGCCCTCCTCCCCTCCAATCGCGGTGTTCAGCGACCTCTGCACACGGTGTCAGGGCTGCTCTACGCGGGGGCAAAAAGCAGGGACTTACAGGCCAGATCTGCGCGTTCGCGGTGAGCTCGTAGGATACCTGGAGCAGCAGCGCGTCAGTGCCATCCTACCGCGACGCGTGCGGAGCGACGTACAGAGCCGACGTTGAAGTACAGGCTTTGGAGCTTCTTGTACTGCGAGGATGAGATGCGCAAGAGCCCGGTGTTCTCATCCATCGTTCCCCCCACAGCTGCTTGATAGCAGTCAAAGGCATCTTGCTCAGAGACCATTCAGAGACGACATTTCACCAGCATCGCGCAGGGCTACTCACTCGAAGCAATAAGTATCAAAGTGGTTCCAGTGTCGACGATGCCCGCAGTGGCAGCGAGAATGGTAGGGCCTTGAGGGCTGCCATAGGTTATCGTCTGATTGATGCCCCAATACGCAGAAGCGGGAGAGGTTGTCGTGCGAGGACTGGCAAGCATAAGTACTCAAACTGTCATCAGACCGCCGGTGCGACATACGTATAGTTGATGGTGCCATTGTACCTGGATGGATCTGTGCCTCCGAAGGTGATCGCGCCGTTGGGATCGCTCTGCGAGACGGTGGGCTCGAAGCTGACGGCGACCAAGTGCTGAGGGATCTTTCCTTGTTGATACAGGTTGTCCGTCACTGCAAAAGAGAGTGAGATACACGCCGGGCCGGTGTCCCAACGACGCATGCGCCATACCTGTTGCGACAGAAGGGGTGTCGGAGACTGTGCCTGCCGTCAGGTCCGTCGGGCCAATGCTAAAGCGAGGTGCGATGAGCTCCATCCACGGCTCCGCACGGCTACGATGGCTCACCCCAAGATGCCATCCACGCCTTCAAACCCCTGCGCTGAAGAGGCGATCCCGAACGACTGCTGGAAGGACATGTCGCCAAGAGTGACCGTGCCGTCGTACTCTTCACCACTGAACGAGCCCGATCCGTACGACACGCTCTGCTCATGCTCAGAACAGCCAGCCCACCAGTAGAAGGAGCGGAACGACATACCACGGAATGGCCGGTGTCCGTCGCACCGGCGACCGGCGCGACCGGCTGGCGGGCTCCGATCCAGGTGTTGGAGGACCCAGTGTCAATGATGAGGGTGTCTGCGAATCAGGTGAGACGGGCGACCAAGAGGCGCTGCGGGGCAGCACTCACACGACTGCGCGGGGCTGCCGAAGCCGACCTGCACGCACAAGAGACGGTCGTTAGCACGCAAGTACATGCGTCGGGCACGGGCACGGGCACGGGCACACGCACCGTGGCCGTATACGTCGTCGCCTGGTTCACCACCGAGACGTTGTCGGCGGCGGCGTAGCTCTGCGGGGCGCCCTGGAGCGAGCGGGCGCGGGCCTGGTCGGAGGTGACCAGACCGGCGAGCTGCGACGTGTTCAGCTGTCTCAGGAGCGGGAGGGAGACGAGGCTGTCGCGGACGACGATGGGCGAGGCGGCGGCGGCGCAGGAAAGAGCGAGCGTTGTAAGGAGAGTGAGTGCAGACGCCATTGCGACCGGTGTAGTAGGGAATCAGCAGAGCGTGCTGCAGGATGGGGCCCGGCGCTGCCACAGCAGCGCTTTATACGCCTGCGGCCTGCGCGACGGCCGTGGTGGTAAAACAGATTGGGCTGCATCATGCTGGCCGTCGGCGGCTGCAGGCGGTTGCGAACAATTCCGCCTGCCA